CTACTATATATATATAAGTAATATATATAGTATATATATATATATATATATATATATATATATACGATTAGAAATCGACGCCTGTGGTTGCGTGATAGTGACTAGCATTTTACGGTTTCAGTTAGTACGTTTATATCACTCAGGCGATAGTTACCCAGTCTTGGCCCAGCGCGGTATGTAGTATATGCCGTCTGTTCACCTTGAAGACAAGACAGTGATACCATGAATGCTATTCGTATGTGACTGTCCAAGATCTACCGTTGAAGTTCCAATATCATCAACAATCTCGGTTATATAGATTCGTAACAGCAGTAAGTATTTAGTAGTGATTGTCAACTGCAATACACAGCTGTTTGTGTCTGGGCTATTACTGACAAGCGTGCTGAGTTCCAAGCGGGCGGAGGCACGTATCGGCTCGGTGTCAGCATCTGCACAGCACACTATAAACCATTCGAGCAAATCTTTGAGTGCCTATATACGTATTCCAGACTTACATATTTTGATTTTATATATATATATATATATATATATATATAGGGTGGGGTCCGGTTGGTAGTATGTGTATGACTATATACTTCATGGAAGGAGTTCTTCAGGGTAATCTTGTATCAAACGTAGCTTCAGATATCTTTAGTCGCTATGCTTGTTCATTCGAATACGGTTGGCTATACATTTCCACTTGTGCAACACTCTGTACCGATGAATACGGAACCTCTTTGTGCATAGTGTTTGGTGTCCCAGTTTCCGAGGATTGTAGACTGCTTTCGCTATCCTTTTGTCTGTACGAAGACATGTTTATTTACGCGATGGGATCTGCTGTGTATAATCTCAGTCGGCTGGATCAATTTCGCTACCCGTTTATATATGTACACGGTTTAGTATACGTATCCTCATACGTTGTACTCCATACGTTTACTTATACGTACACGCATACATACACCTTAATTTCATACAACTTCAACAGAGACGCCCGCTCGGAATACGCCAGGTATGCTAAGCTAGACTATCTCGGCAACCTCGATTTGGACGACATCACCTCACCTCTGGAGAAGCCGCGCGAGATGCACATAGACACACACTGCATCTGCGAAACGTACCAAGAGAAGGACGTACGCCTGGTGCTGCACTTTGACGTCAATAAGACCATTATCATGCAGGATCAGGCAGCCAATAAGAGTGTGGAGGATACGGTTAACGACGTGCTGTGTGACAGCACTTGGGGTATCATCGATGTGGAGCCGTTGGTACCCACTTGGACCGCGTGTCTGAAGCACCCGTCGATCAAGCCACCCGTTATTGAGGGTAAGGAGGACGAGAGAAACGTTCGGTACTTTTGGGTGTGTTCATACAGACGCATTGGGTGTCAATTCTGCCGTGATCAAGGGTATGGAAGAAGAGAGACGAAGTGCGGTGCTTTGAGTGTGTTCAAACAGAGTATTGGTCGTGAGTTCTGCCGTGATTTAGGGAATGGAAGAAGGATGTAGAAAAGTGCGGTACTTTGAGTGTGTTCATACAGATGTATTGATGTGCATTCATCCGTGAATTAGGTGGGTACAGAAGGAAAGATGGGCACCTCTGTTTGTACGGGTAGGACAAATTGGGATGTTTTGCATGGCTCAACTATACGCATCCCCTCACCATTCATCATCCAGAAGAGATTCGTTGTTTGCTATCCTTTATCTTATCTTGTTATTGATATCACAGGCGAGCTGATTGGTTCGTACAAGACCTTCGTAGATCGATATTACCTACCATACACTCCGTTGCGTGCGGGTGAGACGAAAGAGGAGATGATCGCGCGCCATACGAAAGTGAGGACTAAGCGTCGGGGGATGGTCTCTACCTTCACCAGCAAAGGTGAATGTTGAACGTTTTCATGTGTGCAAGTTGATGTATAGCAATGCATCTTAGAGCGTCTGGTCCAGCTCAGTGGGTGGGGAAAATTAATGGATGATGATAGATAGCATTGTGTGTAGCGTCTGTGTATATGTAGTCACATTGTATTTACAGGACTGATTAAGGTTAATTTGTACAATGTATACGGTCACGGATGTCCTATATACCATGTGAAATAAATGGAGAGAGCTTTTCATGGGCTAGGCCAAACTTCGATGCTTACTGTGTATTTATATACATAACATGTTTATACTGTGTATATACTATATATATATGTATACTAAGTAGGTATATATATATAGTATGTACATACTACCTGTGTATATACAGTTAGAAGCGATCGCACGCACACTGCTATAATTCAACGCCGCTCTCGAAAATATTGTGGGTTGTTACAGCACACTTCTGCGCCTCTACTGGATCAGATCGTGACAAGCACTATCCTCACGAGTCGCTATTCTTCTTACTCACATAAGCACTTCTTTCTGTTTTGAAAACGGGTGCGCGCGATAGTACGATCAAATGATGCCAAACCCCCTGTCATGTGCTATGTCTATATAGTTCTTTGGTTCTTATCACCTCCCATGATTCTTCCGTGTACGTACGTAGGTCACCCAGGTGAATGTTTCCGAAAGTTCTACAGACGTCTCTTGGATAGGCTGAAAATCGAGCAAGTGGTGCCGCTCAAGAAAAGTGAACAATTCGACGAGCCCCTACGCACCTTTGTGAGTCTTTGGTCCCATTTTTTTGTCCATAAATTTATGTTTATTTTATTTCTAAGATCTAATTTTTATTTGCCTTCGCTCCCATTTCGTTGTTTGTTGGACTATTGTATGTGTACAATACTCTCGAATGCTTCTTATTTGTCTGGAGGGCACTTCCTATATTAGGATGGGTGAGATAATATCTCTAACCCATTGAGCGTGCGGGGTACCAGAAGAATACCCATTAAGTATACCCATTAAGCATGCCCATCAAGTATGTCAGAGTACGCACTGTTTTGTACTGAGCGAATTAGTACGGTCCAATAAACAGATCAGCAATATGCCAGATGGTATACTTTTAACGCTCATTCCATATCTCAGATACGTTTGCATGCCACCTCTATGTATCAGCTGAGCCCTCCCTCCAGCTCGAACGTATATACACAAAGATTAACTGGAGACAAACACCGAGCGTGATACTTATATCCACACATACACAATCACAATCTTTACCCATTCACAAGCTTAGCTAGCATAAAGCGGTCACTATAGTCTATTGATTGCTTAACATCACCTTGACTATAGTACTGTACCATAGCACACTGAGATACACCCCACTGATGCGGCGGACCATACAAGTCGAGAAGAAAGCCAAACATGCGCACCTCCATATCATCACATAGTAACTCATTGATTATATCTATTTCACAACATATTGACGATCGGATTACACTATGCAGGTGCACAAAGAAACAGTAGTGGATAATGTCGAGGAGGATGGCAACTACGATAATGCGCAGCCAGACTCGGTTGCTGACACCCTCAAGGGCCAGAGAGGGTCGTCAGCAGGTGAGTGAACAGAGCTGAATTAGTGTATGGCTGTAAAATTCTCAAAGTTGTATGTTGTTGTGGTGTTTGTGTATGTATTCTAAGTGATGAATATTTAGTTATCGAGTGATAAAAGCTGTATGTTGAATATATATATATATATATATATATACGTTAACTGATGAATATATGCTCATACAATGTTAAACGTTGCAACTTATTCCTGAGACACCTAGGGGGCTGAAAGGGCCAATACCATGTGTTGAATAGCGATATATATGTAAGGTTATGAATACATAGTTATGATTTATTCAGATTTTTGCCGTTGAATCTTGGTGGTAAATATGTAGTGAGAATGAATGCGGGATTCCCACGAAATGAGCGTATAGTCGCAAAGTTATAAGTTTTGGTTGTAGTTTTTGGCTCGTTCACAAGCGGTACAATTCCTCGATTATGACTGGGTTTTAGGGTTTATGTATATGTATATACATATATATATGTGTGTGTGTGTATATGTATAATCATGCCGTGTGATTTTACATAAGCGAAAGTGTAAATACGACATATCTATGGAAGTGTGACGTACATGGATCATACGCGTTATCTTCCTTACCATTGAGCCAGACCCCCAATAGTTTAGTAGTAGGAGGGAAGGAGTAGGGCTTTAAACCTTGATCTGACAATACAAATTCCCAAATCCGGCATTCCAAATTTTCGTGATTTTGGTATTGATCTATTTGGATTCATGTTTTAACAGCCATCGATGAGAATCAAGTGGATAAGCCCTTCGATACAAAGTACCACTTTCTCATTCCGTCGTTCTTCGAGCTGATTCTGCATCTAACCAAGGTTGACCGCCAGTTCTACCTGATATTCCGCACTTTCGGGACAGAACTGATGAACGTGCTGAAGGCTTTGCAGGTATCATACATAGCTGTAAGCTGTATTTGTACGCGTATTGAGCTAGATTACACGGTTCCTTGTTTGCTATGGGCTGACCCTTTCGGGGCAGAGGCTAAATCTGGTATCAAGAAGTAGAGATGGTTTATAGGGGCGTGAGATGAGCAGGGTTCCTCATAGTTGAATGAGCTCTGTTATCGCAACTCGGATTGCGCAACGTTACAATCACAAGTATAGGGTTGGATGTGCCTATAATGGTTCAACAGGCTGTTGGTTTATTTGCTACTTTAATCACTTCTCATCTCTGGATCCATCGCAGGATTTCTTTTTTTGTTATTTTAATCGCATCTCATCTCTGGATCCATCGCAGGATTTCTTTATTTGTTATTTTAGTCACTTCTCATCTCTGGATTCATCGCAGGATTTCTGTGAGGGGAACCACAAGGACTATCCGTTTGTACCCAAATCGCTCACGGCCAAACTTATTCCTCCGCACATGCACGACAATCACCAAATAGCCGCCATGTATAGGGATGGTCTGGTATGTATAGGGATGGTCTGGTATGTATAGGGATGGCCTGGTGTGTATAGGGATGGTCTGGTATGTATAGGGATTGTCTGGTATGTATAGGGATTGTCTGGTATGTATAGGGATGGTTTGGTATGTATAGGGATGGTTTGGTATGTATAGGGATGGTCTGGTATGTATAGGGATGGTCTGGTATGTATATGGATGGTCTGGTATGTATAGGGATAGTCTGGTATGTATAGGGATGGTCTGGTATGTATAGGGATGGTCTGGTATGTATAGGGATGGTCTGGTATGTATAGGAATGGTCTGGTATGTATAGGGATGGTCTGGTATGTGTACACAAAGAGTAATACTGTGTCTTGTTGAGTTCACATTCTGTTCCTTATTCATGCAACCCCACATATATAGCAACCGATGCAGGACTGCTATTCTAAAGGCGGGGCTGGTAGATAGATCGACTGTTTCAAAGTTATGATACAACTACACTCTATTCAGACCTCCGCCCATGTACGGCAATCGCCAAAAACCCGCTATGTATAGAATTGGCCTGGTTGTGGGTGTATTGGGCCTCACTGTGTCTTAATGTATCTAGCCGTGGTTCCAAAGCAATCTCCTATACTTATCACCCATCTGTCACAATTCTAGCTTTCATACTACTTATACAATTGGCCTGGTTGTGGGTGTAGTTGGGCCTCACTGTGTCTTAATATAT